AGAACATTATTTAATTTTCTCTTCGTACCTACTTTTAGGCTTTGTAACATGACTTTGTATTCTGTACACGTAACATACTTATTATACATAACATTATAAAGCCCTGAGCCAAACGTTGTACTTAATTATAATGTTTAAAGTTGCACTCTAAATACATACTTTTAATTTTATAAACAATTTTATAAAATGTTGTTCTATAAATAAATAAATTATTCTATCGTATTTTATTACATTGATTATTATATTGGTATCGTAAGGTAAGGAACGAGTTAATTACTATTCAACATAATATTTTAAGCATATTTCGTCCCCTAATTGTGCCAAAAAGACATCTAATCATATAAAAAATATCATAAATTAATGAAACAAAGGCATTCTGCATAATTCTCCATATCACATAAAAGAAATAGAAATAGAAATAATCTTTATTCAAATAAACTTAATATAAGCACTTTTGAATGGTCAAATTTTTTTATTCTAAGACTGTCATAAATCTGTATTTTACTGCAGGAAGCTGTTGAGTCTAATATTATAATTTTACTATCGTGTTATAACTAAAAACAAATATATTATAACTTGTGAAAAAATAAAGAATATATATTTGTGATTTATATTTGCCTTTTGTAAGTACTTGGAGGACAGGAAGACATTAATAAATAGATCTATATTTATGTATTTAATACTATACTTGTTTTATAACGACTTCTAAATATAATGGCGCAAGATTATAACGGTCTTGTATGAAGAGTATTTTAATCGATTTGTAAATTATTATTAAGTAAAACTGTTCTAATTATATTAAGAGAGAAGTCCTGACACAAACTATTGAAGTTAACTACATACAAATAACAACAAGAACTACATTTGATTAGAGCAGAGAAGGAAAAAAATCGATAAAGTATTTATAACAGTACTAAGTAAAATAGAAACTAAAGATTATATGCAAGTCTGTTGCTTAAAAAGTTGCCTTGTGGTATCGTTAGTACTATATGGAAGTAACTAACTGACCTTTCGTCTGCCTTTTTCATTGTTACTCTGCTCTTGTTAGCGATATCGTGATATAATAATGCCTTCCTCTATAAATAGCCTATCCAATACTAAATATTTCGTCACCCTATTATAATAATAATAATGAAATTTCTCATACTAATATGTCAACGTCGGGCATCTTAATTATTGTATATATTATAAACTTTATTACTGTCACCGTCTCAAACTTTAGACATTATTTATCTGTACATGTTCATTAAGACAGGCTTTGTAATGTGAGAAAGCGACATCATTCAGATTGGTTTAACTTTATGTGGACAATTTTATTACAAGTTAAAGAAAATTTCCAATTTCCAATGTTCCTTGGCGAAATTATTCAGTTTCATAAATACCTTAACTGGTTTTCGGCATGTACTCTGACCGACACCTTTTATAGGAACGAGTACGTATTCAGGGAGGAACCCCATAATATAAATGATAATGAGTATTCTAGACACGTCTACGTACGGTTACGCAAGTTCCCCGCAAAAGGAATGACATCAGACGGCAGGATGTCTATTACCGCACTTGATCCTTTTAGGCTAAACGGATATACAGCTGATAGGATTGTCTGGGGTCCGATGTTTGCTGTCCTGTCTGCAGCTATTCCAATTACTTGACTCCCGTAACGTATAGGTTTTATATACATCATGAAAGCTTCATTCAATAAACTACTCTTCGGATTATATCGTAGAAAGAAATAGGATTTAATTTAAAAAATGCGCTCGTAGTAGTGTTAGTACTAGGCGTATTTTGTTTGCATTGAAAAGGCTCTGAAACAACTGGACTGATATAAAAAAATATTATACCATTAAATTCTTTGTAACACTACATTTATCCCTGATGAACATAGACGATAAAAGTGATATACTACAGTTTTACATAGTACATCAATATCGAAGAGTGTGCGAGTGTGTTTCGGACTAACAGTTAGCAGGCAATGGCATGAATATGTATCTCTGTAATAGTGATTTATATTACATATGTTGATATTTTGTCGAAATAACTTTCTGACCAGGCCTCATCATCTCAACATAACAAACAAAGTAATTTTCAGTTAACTCTAAAAATAGAAAGTTAGTCATTTCGATACTACTTTTTATTTATGCGTTTTGCAATTTCATAGTTAACTTTAACGTGGTAGTTTAGTGAATTAAAAACTACTTATAAAAATCAGTGAGTTCATAAAGTATATTACGGAAATAATTGCAGGAGTTAGAATCACACACTCGAAATATTTAATAACATCGGTATCTTGTAATTAGCTTTTGATCAGGTCATTAGATGAATCATTTATGTATGGATAGGTTGTATTTACCGGTACAATAATATCTAAATGATTTTATCTAAACATGTTACGCGAGTGTTAGATAATATTACATTGACGTTACATTGATTTGGTATATTCCGATGAATGTATTATATATTTAGAGAGACACGGTGTTCATTGATTAAGCACAAAACTGCCCTTATCTTAGTTCTTTCTTAATACAATGATATATTAAAATTTATAAACATTGACATCTTAAGGCTATTACTAATTGAATTGATATTTTAAATTAACTGGGCAATTTAAAGAAATCCTTCCTTAGTAAACGGATCTCTTCTTGACAACAGGAAGCCATGTTTAAAGTTTCAAATTTCTAGACCTAGTCGTCTAGGCTGCGCGTCGATTTGCCGTCGGAGTCAGGGTGGAATGTACGTGGGTAAAAATCCCAAACACCACCCCACCATCCCTCCAACGGGGTGATTACGTTTGAAGATTTTCCACATTTATAAAAAAAAGGTTCCACGTTGATGTACGAGTATAGCAGTCAAGACAAGCTTCTTTATAGAGACGAGTTTCTTTATAATTATAGATTACTTTACATGATTTATATATGCCTGAACATATTATAAATAATATATTTTAACCCTGAAACGAAAATTAGATGGTTACATTTTTAGAAATTTAGAAAGTATTTTTCACGTTTACAATGACAGTTGAGAGATTATTTGCACCCACATCTCACTGAACAATGATGGGTATAGACAAAAGAACAGTCTGATTGTGTGAAAAATAAAGTCAAAGTTCACGCACAAATGACAAAGATCTACCTTTTTAATCTTTACGAGTTTAGTTCCACTTCTTATATTAATCTTGAGAGAAACATTTATTTGTTTCACAGAGTTTAGAAAGGCTATTTTATGTAATTTTTGTAAGAAAATGACAACTGTCGCATATCATGGGTCCCACAAAATAAATTGAACATCCATGAGATCATTTCATTGATTCAATTCATTCTTATAGATTAAGTTGTTATGTCTCTATATGCTGTTATTTTACTACCATATCTCAGCCAACATACCGCTACATAGCTTGCAATCTAATAGAATTAGGTGTGTTTGTGTAATAAGTTGTTTTATATATGTTTTTTTCCACGTGTCTTATATGCATCTCATAAATAAAAATATATATTTGTTAATAATCAACTAAATCATGTTCAATATAAAGTTGCATAAGATATTTTGAGTCTGTGACGTATATAAAATGGTTCTATTCAATTTCACGTTCAGTCGATCTAATAACTATTGATAGATAATAGATTTCATCCCAAAAGCTGGCATAAATTTAGCTGGTTACTTAGTAATTTAATTGAATTTGTTTTCAATAACATCGTGTCTAAAGCAAGTAATTGATATCGGTTTTTCTGTGTATATACTTTTCAGAATGCCTAATTTACAAATAACTTTGTTCAGATACTTAATGTTTTTGTCTCAATTCTAATGAATGAAAAGTATCATATTGTACCGTCTACTAGTCATCTAGTATTCTAGTATACATGTTGCGAATAAACCCTAGAATTGAACAACGAAACTATAGTATACAATATTGGACCATGTTATAACATGTGTTGTTTATATCGCAAATGACCTCGACTCGTTGATTTTGGTTATAGGTATATGCAATGACCAAAATAATTCACAGTATTTTTGACGAAATGGCCTACAATTTTATGATACGATCAATTCTGCGATTTCGCCACGACATATATAAATAGGCTTAGATTTAATCTGCTTTCCTGTTAGTTTCCGTTTAAATCACTGTGAAGAATATTGCAATATCACTCGATTTAATGAAAATGTAAATTCTTTCGCTAACATACATTTTAGATGGCTTTATTTAGAATAATAAACATGTAGTGAATTTAATTTCAAATAGTATAATGAGATTGTTTTGGTAATTATTCCACACCGCTCTCTAATGAATTCTATCATATATCTTGATAGACACTCAAACTTTTTTTTTGTTTATGTTCTCTTATATTTCAGAACATAAATGGCTAATAATGGAATTGCATTATTAATTTTATTAAAATGTTCTATTTACGTCTTATAAAAAATCTTTGTTATTTGTTACACTGTATTTTTTCCATTACATTTTAGTTGAATCTTTTCAGTTGTCTCTTGATAAACAAATTTCCAGGCGGACTTTGTAGAATTAAATACAGGATCCAAATAATAAAAACGACAAGTTATGACGAACGATAAGCCAAAATCGCCTAACAAACCCGCTCGTGAAAAGAAGACTAATTTTTAATTCGAATGAAATTTTGTGTTGGTAGTTAGATTCTGTCTATGTTCTAAATCTTTCCAATTCTTCGTATACTAACGAAACTTTTAATAAGATGTTGCGCACCAACTATGTGGGTTTCAAAAAAAAGCTAAATATACCTAGTTTTTTTGAGATAATAACAGTTTTAGAATGTTATTAGTATTTAAGTACATAAATATGAACTAATAATATTTCAACCAAGGGCTTATTATTTACCAAAGGTTTATCCACGGGTTACTAAAAGTTGTGTTTTATCCTGGTTAGTTTTTATGTCTGGGCAGTTGTTTGAATATTTAGAAATATAAAATATTCAGTGATTAATACTGGTCATTTTAAAGTAACTAAACATATTTATATATATTGTTTTTTGTTTCAGTATACTGTTTGCCGATATCGTGGGCTTCACGGTGCTCGCATCGCAGTGCAGTGCGCAGGAGCTTGTACGGCTGCTGAACGAACTTTTCGGCCGATTTGATCAACTTGCCAATGTAAGTTGATTTATTTTCTGTTACCAGTGACTTCGTCTGCTTTTTTGTTATCATTACACTACCTATCTTGAAATTTCATTAAGTTCCATTCTGGTGTTTAGTCGTAAAAACATAACAAATAGATGTCACGACGAATATCATATATGAGTAATCTGCAGTTTTTACATTTGTTAACAACTGTTTCATAACGGCTCTGCATATGCGGATAACGTTATCCCCTATGATCCTTATGGAAATTACGAGAAATTCCTCCCTATATATCTTATAATATGTAATATATGGTACATGTATAACTTTTTATATACCTTAGATAACCTTTCTCGCTGTCAATTTCCAGTTTCTAATCAAACTTTCATATATTTATATATGAAAGAATCAAACTTTCATATATTTATATATGAAAGTTTGATTAGAAACTGGAATCCCTTTCCAATCCCTTTAAAGAATGTATTTTCAAAAATGTTTTCTTGAAACTAACGTCATAAGAAACTTCTGTAGATAAAGTACTATTTCTAGATCTCGGTTAAAGACTCATCGTTTTACGCTGAGCGTTGCCTGTCTGTCTAAGTTTTAAGTAGAGAGCAAAACTCACTGAATTGAATAAAATGGTTGAAGTATGTTCTTCGTTGATATTAAAATTTAATTTTATATCACCAGACGATAATAGATATCCAAAATAAACTGACAATGTGCGTGCGTAAGCTTGTATAAGCTAAAAGCAACCAAAGACTCGCTGCGTCACATTAATTTGACATTATATGTGATTGAACATTTGGACGTGGGTTTTTTGGGTTACCCGTCCAAAATTATGCCTTCTGAAATGCTGTAACAAATAAAACGTTATTTTGAGCATTCATACTAGCACTCTTACATACCCCGTAAAAGACCTGGTTTAGTATGTTTTATGGGAGTAACCAGTTTAATGAAGTGGAATGATGTCCTGTACTTTATAAAAAAAATACACCGCCTTCGATCGCATTGTATCACATACCATATATTGAGACGTTTTTCAATAAAATCGGTTTCACACTCTAGTCACATCGAAAGTTGTGATCCTTATTTATGGAACACCAATCGACGTACAGTATCACACATGGAGGCAGACCTCGGGCAATTAAGATAAGTATATTATATTTCGGCAGCATCGTGATCTAGTGTGATTACTCCTTCCTCTATGTTTACATATATTTGACCGATTGTATGGTGATAGGAACACCGAACATCAAACTTAATTCTATAGGCTGGCGCTCTTTAGGTTGCATTCAATTATTAATCTTTGTATAACCATGTATGGAATTATTATAATTATATACGTTTATTTGTTTTAAATAAAACATTATCTTACATAGGATAACCACTGCCTCCGTATTAAAATCCTGGGCGACTGTTACTACTGCGTGTCCGGGCTGCCCGAGCCGAGATCTGACCACGCACGGTGCACAGTCGAGATGGGGCTAGACATGATCGACGCCATTGCGTGAGTAAATGTATAATAATTAATAATATATAAACATTTATACAAAAATAATGTTCATTAATGCTGGTAAGGATGATTTAGTCATCGTCTACTTCTTCCTTATCCTATTAATTAAGGGGCGGCGTAATATACTTTTCTCTTCATTTGCAGTCATCTCGTTATCCACTCTTTAGTTTATCATCTTTTACATAGTCCATCCATCTTTTTTTCGGTTAGTATAGGTGCTAGATTTGAAATGACGACTCTTGGGTTTATATCGGAGTAGTACTGCGTCTCAACGCTTACATATAAAAATATAAATATTACATTGGTATTAAAAATATAATTATAATGAATATTAGTCCTCTAAACTGTCCTCAAAATATTTAATATCCGATATTTCAAATCAGCTAAGTTATTACGGATAATAGCTTAGCTGATATGACATTTTGGGGACACACTGCAGGGTAACATGTCGGCTTTGTGAACTGATTGGGGTTCAGGTCAAGGAAATCCGATACTGCTCTTGTAAGTGTATATAAAGTCTGGATACTCTGTTTTACGTAAATATCTTATTTGAAAGTATTATATTGAAATTTCGTTGATTTCATATAGAAAAAATCACAACTCTATTGTCAAAGTAGAGTCTGTGTTAGTCTGAAGTACTGTAGTTGTTATCGACTTCGTCTGCTTTTTTTTTTAAAGAAAAAAGGTAGTCAGTGTTATAATTAAAAATTTCTTCATGTCTAAATAATTGTCTATAATTAAGATTCGTCCAGTCATTTAGTAGTAAAAGACAACAAACATACACCACAGTATAGAAAAACAGACACTTTTACATTAAAATATTAGTATGGTTGAATATTAGTACACAATATTACAGTTCAGTACAGTCAGTATACACGGCCCTATAGACTCTTTAAAAAGATATAAACTTGACCGCAATCGGAGTGTAAATAAACATAAGTTATTTTTTTACTTTAAAAGAAGCCGACATCAATACTGATAATATTCATATTGAACTTGGTTGTATATCGCAAAAGCAGTAAACAAATTTCTATAGATTTCGCCGAAATATATGTACATACAATGCCATACATAAACAGTACCATGTCACCATATGCCGCTAGTGGAGCCACTTATTCGTTGTCATTGAGTTTAGACTAAGATGCTACCATATCCTTATTCACTGGGATATCTCCCCTATTTTTACATTGGCCAAAGTAAAAATAGATGAATAAAGTAAAAATGAGAAAATGAGATAGAAATACTAATGCAGTCGACTTGGTACAAAGACTTTGTCAATTCCTCATCAATCATCATTGTGTTACAGCTTCACCATAATACCGCTTTGATTTTGAAGTGATAGGTATATTGTGTATTCCAGATTTTGTCAATCTATAGATAGAATGTGATATAAAATACAGTTACAAGATTATAGCACATACTAAAATGTAAAGTTAAAGCTTAAAAATAACGTGAAATAGACCCGAGCTTTTTCATTTTGGTACATAGTTGTACTGCCATGTGCGCCTTTCCTTATAATTCGTATCTTATTAATTATTTTTATGAACGTTATTATTTAGTGTAGGTAAGTACGCCCACCTGGTAACGGTCTTAAGAACTGTTTAACTATATACGCAAACATTACGGCCCACTTTCTAACGTTCGTCTGTGTAGGCCCTCCCTTGTCACCGTCTAACAACCCATGTCTATCACGGCGGTGACATTTATTTGGTCTAATGTCTCTTATCTTACCTTACTGCCGACAGCAATTAGTTAATTACATTGTTCTCTAAATAATTTCATAAACCTAAAAACATACTTTGAGGTAAGCTACCACGATAGGAGATCGCGACAACAGACATTATTCATAATATAATATATACCTACAACTTTTGTATGCAATTGTAGTCAAGTGTTAGTAAGACAGCGACACGTGTTCGGTGAAGCTGTGCGAGCAGAAATGTTACCATATTTTATATCAGTTTCCTATGTCTTCGAGCACTATGTTGATAGCATATTTCAAAATCAGTTTCATTACCGCTTCGATGACCGTACTTAATAGGCAATATATAGCGGTGACCCTTCGATGGATCCTTCGACCTGCAATATTGTACACTTACTTATATTTAGTAACATATTTATTAATAGAAGAGTTGGTTATTAATTCTCTAAGGCCATTAGATTTAAAAATAAATATACTTTTAATGAATGGCAAAAAGAGCTTCATTTTTAACAAAATTAATGATCTAAATGAGGTAAGTTATGAAAAGCTTTAAACTTGAAATGGAAAGTATAACTGAAAAGGAACGAAATTGAGTGATTATTATGAAAGAAACCATAACTGAAAACTGACAGGAATTGAAAACGTCGGTCCATTAATTTAAATATAGAGTTATACCTACTATTATATAGTGGTATGCTAAATTTTATAAATATAAATAAATAATAGCTATATTTTTATTGCCGGATAAATATATTTAAAAAATATATTTATCTGGCATCGCGGAACGATTAAAGGATATATTCATCGAAGCATGCCGTGTGATACACGGTTAACTACGAGAATGTGGTGCTCATCAAAGGAACAGCTAAATATACTTCTGTTCGCCCCAGTAGCCGCTACAGTTAAGGCCAGTAGGTCCATCCAGGAATGCATTTATAAATGTATATGCATGTGGATATCGCGAGAATGGAATTTCATGTTAACCGGTGTACTTTACTAGTTCTTATTATAAACTTAACGTGCATTAGTAGACATTATATTAATTTTTGTACGTATTGTTATCTCGTACAAAAGTTAAGTAAATTGTTAATCACAATTACCACAACTTACAATGTCGCTGTACAAATATGCATAATATGTATTGTGTTATACGTATTTTGGCTATATGTTATGTCTATCGTATCATCAAAATATTTTTATTTTGCGAACTACTTGTAAAACAAACAACATTAAATACAACTAATACAGATTTAAGGCCACCTTTGGAGGATATTAATGTTTTTGAAACTTTTATACAACAGCAAAATGTGTTCTTGATTTATTTTTTACTTTAAATCATTGTTTTGCTACCAGACTCTCAATGAATTGAAATAGAATGCTGTCAAATACAAGAAAATAAGAGATTTCCCATATGCCACTTTGATGTTCATTGTTCTCTTTCAGTATTAATTAATATTATATTAGTATCTTTTATAGACTATATACATATACCGTAACAGATGACGGAATTTAATAAGAGAGAATCAACACCGTGGGTCGACCACAGCCGCAAACCTCAACTCCACAAGTATAAAATAAGGAGTATAGTGTATGTTACGAAGTCATAAAGCATTTGATACAAAACATATTTTGATAAAGGCTTGTGTAATGTAATGTGGAAATACTGGATGTTAAAAAATATAATGTAATGTAAAAAATCCTAAAAAAACCGAAAATGTTAGTGTATAATTTGTATTTTATTAATACAGAAGTAATCCAAAAATCGGAATAAATTTAAATGGACGAACTTAGTGTAGTTCCATGAAGACTCTGTATGCGGAGTTCTTGCAAGTCTGTTAATAGAATATATAGAATAAACAGGTAAATGTCCAATGAACAATTATTACACTGTCCTGATTCATAACATACTGGTTAATACTGGGCAACAGTATATACTATAACATTTTCTGTATCACTATAATGTTGTAGTAAATCCGTAATCATATGGTTATTACAAAATCATTGACCCTTTGTAAATGACCTACGTTTTAATGATTTGTATGCCTGTCACTCTCACTGTACTATAGTGAGCAGTGTATCTACTTATCTCAAGTCGTCATCTCAAATTCTCAACAAGTATTTCCGAACTATTTGTCTCGATCTTGACCTAAATTCTGCCTTTAAAATAAACAATTCTAGTGAAGTACGGTTACAAACTTTCAGCAATTGTATCTTATAGCGTTGAGGTCCCCCCCCCTCCGTCAGAGACAACCATCTACCAACCCAGCCTACTGAACTTAGCCATAGATAATACTGCGTGAAAATCAACCACACATCCTACTACATAGCTACCAAGCCATGTACCATGTCGATCTTCACACGGATTCGCCTGAAAATCATCGTGGTTACCTAATGAATTCGCCACTATGGGCTGACCAGAATTCATGCTTGTTATGTAATCCTTCTGTGACCCGTCATCGTATACCTTTAGCGCAAACGGGTGCACCATTCCATTACCATACGTACAAAAAAACGGGTTGAGTCCGCAAATAATTTTAATCAGTCAAACGAAGTATTTATTCATCGGGCTCTATCACTCACCAAATGTTTGTTATAAATAGGACAGCTACCGCTAACGTTTGTTCGCAAACACGCGCTCCCGCATTGATGCACTCGGTGCCATATGGAGAGTCCAATATGTGGGAAAACAAATAATACGACATTTTGTAGACGCCTGGCACAGCCAATAGTATCACTTATTTATACATCACGAACCATTGTTTTTATTAGACTTGGGACATTCGTCCTTTGTATATTTTAAAATAATTTACGTAGATGCCTATATGTTTTTGGCCATGACTTCTTATTACGAAACTAACAAAAAGTATCAATTTACATATTATTTTGGCTTTTTTCGCATTTGTTAAAATATACATAGAAACAAAAATACAACAATTATTTAGTACTCGTGTTAACATATATAATTTTCTTTTATATTTTAAGATACCTTTGAATCAGTTACATTGTATTGTATAATCATTACAAACAAAGTACGTGTATATACTTAAATTTTTATTTCAATATCTAATAAAATGAAAAAGTTTATAGTTTCCACGTCGTGTTTATTTTGAGTGTGCGCTCGTAACTTAGAATTTCAATAGCTCTCTGATTTGTTTATAGGTAGTTGTAGATTACAAAGTTAGAGTATGACGGCAGTTCAATACAGATATCATAAATAAAATAATATTTAGATACTGTATTCGTATTTACCGAGTTTGTACTTGATGGTCTTTGATCAACAAAGACATTGTGC